AGCCTATTGTTCTATAACTGTGTCTATATTGACGGTACTCGACGAGTTAAAGTACTTTAGGATTTTCATATCACAATCAATTCAGAAGACAAAATAATTAAAGAAAGTAAAAGTTACTTGTCTATAAGAGATTAGAGATATACATTTGATATTTAATTGACAAAAGCATTTTAACAATTTAGTGTGAATTATTTTCTAGGTCAGTGAAGAGATTCCCAACGACTTGTACCTCGTCGACTGGGAAGTATGGGCAGACCCTAAGGTCACTAAACAGCTGATCTTCATGATCACGAAGGCCCAGAAGGAGATGATTCTGACTGGGATGGGCATAGTGGTGTTCAATATGGAACTGTTTAAGTCTATTATGCAAACTTCTTACTCCTTCTTCACTTTGATTACTGCTTGAATACCTAAAATAGTTTTAATTAAAAGGAAGAGCACAAACGAAACTCCTATTTGAGAAATATATGACACAATACTGTGTTTTTATCTAATTAAAAAATTCTACCATTTCTAGTCTCAGCTTTTTATGTCTATCATTATTGTAAGTTAATTTTATAGGTGTCGTAACAGCATATACGTACTTTCTAAAAAAAGGTATAAGGAGAATTTCATTTGAATCATAGAAGTATTTTTAAGTTTATCACTTAAAATAAGGCACCATACATACTTTATATCACTTCAATTAATGAAAACACATTGTAGTAATTTTAATTTTTTGAAATAAAGATAAGTAAATTTAAAGATAATTTTCATTTTATTTTAATAAAACTTTGCGTAACCCTCCATTTATATTGCAACATTTAAAAAGTTTATTTAATATCTGACACATATTTACTTATTTTAATGTATTTGGGATGTAATTAAGATGTATGAACGACATTTAAAGTAGCAATAAGAAAAGATATAATTAATGTGACATTATAAAAAAGGTATCAATTTACCTTTGCTTAAATTAATTCAAATTTTATCGACCAATCATCATGCATACATATTTTGAAACGATCAGTTGTCACATATATTGGATCTCTCATCGTAGATACACTAATCACAGATCCACAAATTATTGTTCCGGGTCTGGGTGTCATGTGTATGTGAATTTGTATGTTTGTAAACGCACCCACGACACAGGAGAAAATCCTAGTGTGGACTAATATTTCCAAAGTATCTTTAAATAAAAAAAATACAAAGAAAAAAATATGGAATTGACCGTATACGTTTGTCATAACTTTATTCCCATTGGTTTCACAAAAGCAGCTTTTTTTAAGGGGAAGAAAGTCATACAACGACTTCTCCCGCCTTCGATGAGGCAAGAGGGAGTGTCAGACTCTTACCCACTATAAACCACCCCGTAGAACTGAATAAAAACTATTCTAGTTCTTCGAGCTGGAGTCCTGTTAAGTCTTTCGCGGCTCACAAAAACAGACTGAGGTAGAAAGTACATACGTGGGTCTTTTTATGTTATAAGCCGGTAAACGAGCAGACGGATCACCTGATGGTAAGCAATCGGCGTTGCCCTGGGCACACCTGGAACACCAAAATTTAGTTTTCATTATTCGTTTACAGACAATCTTACTAAGTAAATAACCAATCAAAAAACAGACCTAAACAATGTTTCACGTGCTAAATTAATAAAAAGTGCGCATGAACAATATTATTATGATTATATAATTACTAATATTAATGAATGCACTTTTCGAGCGCATTAACTCGGCACTCATACATTACATGTACTGTCAAGGCTAATTGCACTGTCATTACGGACCTGATTAGATCAACAGTGCATACAATAAATGATATTGTATACCTTTTTTGTTCAGTAACTAAAGTTAGATATCGATTTGTCTTTATTTAGACGCCCACCCGACTGTATGTAGATACGATCGTAATTGAAAATAGAAAAAATCAAAACTAGTGTTATTTTTATTTGTCAAACGTCTTTTAAATAATGTTCGTTTTTTAATGTCAAAGTCAAAATCATTTATTCCAATTAGACCAGAAAGATACTTTTGAACGTCAACAAAAAATTAAAAGTGAAGCTCATTCCAAGGTGTAGATTCCTATGGGGAAGAACGAGAAAGAAACTCCATAACTCACTTTTACCTACGCCTATTGTTATTTTTATCCATTTTTATATGCTGTAAGTCCTCCATGAATTATAAATAAATAAATAAATAAATAAATAAATAAATCACCAATTCATGGATATCAATCATAATTTGCATGTGAATACTATTACATGTTATCTTTATAGTCTAAAGCAATACCAAAAGCTTACCCAAAAAAAAACCTACGAAGAAATATAATTTTCTTGAAAAATTTATACATTAGCCGGAATGCGTCCACTGCAGAACAAACCTTTTCTATTCCTATCGTATCTCTGCATACAACTTTGAAGATGTCAAGAAGAAAACTGTTGAAAGTGTCTGCCATAATAAGTTGCAGTTAGATCATCGCAATAGAAATGTTACTATGTCTATTCCTACGTAGATAAAATGTCGAACTAAAAATATACAAAGCGTAAAACGATGTTGAAAAAAAAACGGACATAATGTCATTTATAAATTACTGAAGCACCAAAATGTCAGTGGGTTATTTATGTGTGCATGTATAATGGGTTACCACCGTTGGTTACCACGTTATTAGACTTACGAAAATGACAGATGCCCTTCGTGTCAATGTGTGTACGTGCGTGTAAGTGCGGCTCGACCGGAGTGATACCACGGTCACAGAAGACTAACGTGAATCAACGCTTGCGTTGTGTTTCGTCGTGTGAGTGAGATTACCGGAGGCCCAATTACCGCTCTTTACCCAATCCCTGAATCGCCAATAATTCTCAAATTCCTAATCCCAAAAGGCCGGTAACGCACTTGTAATGCCTCTGGTGGTTCAGCTGTCCATGGGCGACCCCGATTGCTTACCATCAGGTGATCTATCAGTTCGTTTACCAGGTACCACAGTCGATGTTTCAAGTTACTGTGTGCGCCTTTGTTCCAACGTATTTGGTACCTCTTATAAAAATGTGCACCTACTCACGTGATCCCAGATCCATTTACTTACAATTTTAAAATACATCTGTACTCTGCAGAACATAATAGCAGTTTTATATCATTATTTTTAAAGATAATATCTGAATTTCATTATATTGTTATTAACAACAGTTCTGGTGACGAAGCAATTATATTATTATATCAATTAAAAGCTTTGCGGAAACGTTAACCATTGTTGAGTGTAAAGTACACTCAAAAATAAATAAAAAAGTTAACACAGTGCATTAGTTGCAACAACTTCATCATAAGACTGTAGGTAGTTAATTCACGAGAAGGTTTATTAAAGAAAAAGATGCGTTGAACTGTACCATTCACTCGACTTCTGCTTGTGCATCCGTTCTGCATAAATTTTTATTTTATAAGATACCCGGTATACCTACCTAATTACATAAATACGAACCCAAATACCTTTACTCTACAACCCAATAGGACTGGAGTCCTTCATTTAGACTATTATTTAAACTATCTACTTTAAGGGGAAAACATAATTGCCACAATTCTAATTGACTCTCAATCCAAACTCGACACCTCATAGGTCATAGTTTTATACATGTACAATCACAAAACCAACTAAACAATCAGTCGACTTACAACATTAAAAAAAATTGCGCTACGCATACACAGACACACAATCTATTGTTAATTACACAGATTACGAGATCGCAGTATTTTACACTAAAATTACATGATGACGAAGCGTAGTATTTACTTGCAAAAAAACTTAAAAACGCAAGTATGTATGTATAGTAATTGGGGAGGCGAAAAATCTCACCTCACTTTGCTCATACGCATTTTAAGCTTCAAATTACGTAAAACACTTCCTCGTTTTTGTGTCTTTAACGATTTGAAAACGTTTTTTAAGAGCACTAATTAAAGTAAAATTTAGTGTAGTATGTTGGTTCCGTATTCTTTGGTTTTATGTAGGGGGCGTTGTGTTGTGGTATAACTTCTATTCCTTTACTGTAAAGTGTGAAGTCATTTATGGAGTTTCTTGCACTCGAATCGACATTTTCGAACGAGCGCCTAGCTTCACTGATGGACAGACTGACAGAATATTATTTATTTCATATTTATTGACGTTTCAAAAGTACCAAGTTATGGTTTAATTTAAATAAATGCTTTTGAGTTTGAGTTTTTTATAACTCTTAAGCCATTCATAAACTATCATCAATGTGACGAAAATAGTGTAAATCTGCAAACTAATCATTATCATTTCAACCACAAAACGTCTACTGAAAATAGGCTTCTTCAATAACCCCAATAAAGATCCAAGATACCAATTGACCTGGGTTCTTCATCCATTCAATATTAACAGTATTTACACCAAATCGTAAATGAATCTCTACTTGGTTGTCATAACACCATTATTAAACTGTCAATCACCAAGCGGTCACCGGTGACCGCAACCTATTGTTCTATAATTGTGTCTATAATGACGGTACTCGCCGAGTTAATTAAGGGCTCTAATGATTCCAATGAACTAGATACGTGACTGTGCAGGTCTATGAGATGCATCAGTCCTATCCTTATGGAGACTTACAAAATCGATCGTCTATTCTTTTCCAGGACTATATAAAATATCTCTAATACCTAAACTATATTCAATTTTATTTTTGAATCAAGTCTTTGCAGCTCAGTAACGGTAACTGGACAAGTAATGAATAGTTTTTTGATATCATTTGAATGTTTTGTGATCTGAATGCCTCAATCGACTGCTGTTACACGTCAGCTGCGCGTTGAGTGACGTAATAATCGGAGCACAACGGTACAGCCTCTAAAGCATGATAGCTATCGCACGCCGTCGATAGCAAAAGTGTCTGCCGACCCTGGCGTGCCCCCTCTACAGGTGGAGGGGGCTACTCCAGCTCCCTTCACCTTCGAGCCGCACGCCGCGCGCGACCAATGACCGCCCGCCCCGGCCCGGCGAAAGGTTTTATATACAAGTGGAATTCGCACTGCCAAATTGCTATAAGTCAAAATATAGGGTAGTCGGGCGGTTGACTCGTTCGTGGAGCACTCGGCGCGCGTGTCTCCGTACTATCGTCTTCTACCAGCAAGTTAGTGCTGCGTGCGCGTGCGACTCACGCTGCTGGGATTATACGCGTCCTGAACACTCGAGCCAACGGGCCAATGCACCGTCACTGGAGGCCTTTGTAGTCATTTGTTTTATACAGGCATCAAACTTTGTGTGATAACATGGGGTGCAGTGGAAGATATTATTTTCTGACTCTTGTTTTGTGCGTTGTGACTGAACTTGCGATCGGTGTGAGAGTGGTGCCCAAGAGAAAGAAAGGTAAAGTAATATTTATTATTATTATTATCTCTCGTGAAATTATTATCGTTCTATTGTTTTAAGTTTTAATACTCTTCGTAATATTCTATAATGAGAGGCTATAAATTGTTCGTTATGCACTATAACGTACCTATTTTAAAGCCTTACCTCATGTACTCAGGCGCTAGATAAATGTACGATTTCATATTGCAGCTGTATGAACCGAATGCGGTCACTATTACCCAATGTTTTGATTCGTTGTTTAACTCTACATAACATTCGTAATATCTAATACTCACTGCACGTAAATGCATAGTCTATCTACTTCAGAATCTAAGCAATAAAATGCTAACCAAGGTTGATTTATCTTCTACAATTTATACTATTATTTAACTACCTGTATAATTATTATGACACGATGATATGAATTTTTATTTTAGACTTCTAAATATGTATCACATCGGAAAATCCAGTAGCGAAAGTCGTTGACTCTCTATCATAAAATAATTGTATCCCGCCATTATATCATAAAATAAAATTATGATTTCTTTTTATAATTTAATTTGCTATAAAATAATATATAATTATATAGTTTCTAAGCTATCACATAAAGTAGTAAATTAACATTTAATAATATTAATTCTTTTATTTTGGTTGACACTAAAACAGCAATTACAGCGTTATCAAATGCATTGTAAATACAAGGTGCTCGCTTGCATAGAAACTGTAATAAAATTAACATATAACTGCCATTATTAATTTATTTATAAAACTTTAATTAAACTTTCATTGCAGATTATCCATTGCGATAGGTAAGCCTAACAAAATTTAGGAACTTAAAAAATACAATGTATTTAAAAAATACAAAATATAATAAAATAATTTAATAGTAAGTAATTATTGCATCAAAAATTACTTCTCCTATATTACAAAACTACATTCCTTCTGAGCTTAAACGTGTTCAGTAAAAGCATGCTGTTTTGGGTCCGATTCTTATGTCTAACTTTACCTATGGGTATCTCAAAGCTGAATAGGTAATAGTAATTCAAATCTAAAACTACCTCAACCTATGTTTGACATCAAAATAATTTATAACAAAAATTTTACTCAAAAAAAAACGCCAAAAAGACAACAAACCAATCAAAAACTTAATTACATAAAAAATAGAACAATAGCTGAGCGCACACACTAGCACCGTTATATGTCCGAATTATATGACCCTCATATAATACCTACACACCTTCATATAACATCGTTTCACATAAAAAAGCTTTAAAACAATACGAACTCGTAGGAAACTTTACCGTTGTGCACACAGATAGTTGGGTTTCGGAAACTGCGGTTTTTAGTTCGCAAAAAATTAGGTCATAAAATAAAAAACGACTTTATAAGCCATAGAAATAGACTACAATAGGTTTCTTTCGCACGGAATGCGTGACTAACTGTCACAGTTAGATTCTTCATCATTCCGTGGTTTTACTTCCCCTTTCAATAATTCCGCTAAGTCATAAAATGCTGCTGTCTACGGAATCAGATCAGCAGCTGTAGCCAAATACCATTTAGCGCTTGTCTACTTGTAGAAGAGAAAACCAAATTATATGGAATTGAATTACGTAAATTTTGGCACTTGTCAGTGTCATTCCCATACATTTAGTTTTCTACTCTCTCGGTAGACACAGGCTAAACTGGCGTTTGGCTAAAAGAACTGGTTCCTAGCAGCATCTTAGAGCCAAACTCTTTTCGTAATATTCTATAATGAGAGGCTATAAATTGCTCTTTTCTCGCGATATCGTTTCACTTAAATCTCAAGTAAATAAATTACCAAGTATGCAACTCAGTCAATAACTTTAACTAATTCTTTTAATTAAGAAATGATATAAAATGTCATTAATCCAGTACGTTTTTATAACGCCATACTTTAACATCAACTCTAAATTGAATTAGAACGCTAATTATTTACTTACGGTAACTTAACAAGAAGTATGTTAAGACAACCTTTTTGCAATAAAATTTTACTTTTTGCTGGAAACGAGATATTCTAAATGCATAATTTAGAGAATGCACGCAAACACTGGAACGTTGGCCACCTCGGACCGCGATTAGAATTCGCTCAAGTATTTTAACCAACACCAAATATGGAGAACTTTCATTTAAATGAACGACAAATATGCATTAAGTCTCATGTAGCTTGAATAAACTATTTTGATTTACAGTTATTGAAAATTAATTTAAAATAATCTAAAGTTTTGTGACCTACTTACAAGTTCATATTATTTTGTCAAACACATTATTTCAAAGATATTTCGAAATATAAGAGCTTAACTTTTCTATTCCTTACTAGCTTCTGCCTGCGACTTCGTATGCGTAATCCCGTTTTCTCCCGTTCCGATTTCTATCGTAAGAACCTTCTCCTGACAATAACAAACACAACAAAAAAAGGATCAGCCAAATTGGTCTAGCCGTTCTCAAGTTATGGCGTGACAACGGGAAACGGGTTTCATTTATGTCTATAAATAGATTATAAAGGCAAAAATTTCATAAAATTGTACCAATACTGTTACTAAACTTTAATGTCTTATAAGATTTTGGCAGCATTGAGCAGATATAAGAATTAATAAAATAACCAACAAATAATTGGTTATTGCACCAGACCAACGTAAATACATACCACATAGCTTTCAATACCCACTAGTCTTATTCAGAGTCCCACAATAATTAACGGTGAATTTTTGACGTGACTCTCATTTTCTCACTTCACTAACGAACGCAGCAAGGTTGCACGCCTAGTGTTGCAATGGATTTCTTAAGTTCCACGGTAGTTCTCACACATCCTGTATCGATTAAACGTTGCTACATGCTCGTGAGATTCGTAATTTCCGATTTAATTATCAGTTTCTCGGTATAATTCTGGCCTGGAGACTTCCGATTAATTAATACAGTTAAACTAAATCTACGCAAAATTACCGGTCTTTATACCGTTCTATATGGTTTGGTCTCGCTTTTATTTTAGTATGTTTAACGACTATATTGTCGTGGTGGCCCGGAGGTTTAAGACGCCCGCTTCTCGTGCATGAGGATGCGGGTTCGAAATCTACTAACGGCAAGTACCAATCTTTTTCGAGTTATATGTAACTACTTTTTAAGATTATTCACACACCACTGACAAACGGTGAAGGAAAACATCGTGAAGAAACTTGGGCTTATAATTTCTAAAATTATAAGTTTGAAATCGCACACCCGCATTGAGCAAGCGTGGTGATTAATGCTCAAACCTTCTCCGTGTGAGAGGACGCTTTGCTCGGCAGTGGGCATTATACTTAGGCTGTTGATGAATGAACGACTATACATTTGTATTATTAAACTACAAAGGTTACCCCTTATCAAAACTTAAACAACTGTGCAATCCTTATGTGTAGGTACCTACATATGGATACTAAGTTTTCCCATAAAAGTACATAGCTGTAGTACAGTACCTTAAACAGTTAAATGCTTAGCATTATTTCCCGACAATTCTATTCGAGTGTTTTTACAGATTGGACTTCGTAACAATGTATCATGGAAAACGTCGTTCACAAACGTTAAATATGTTTAATCTAGTATGGAGTACTTTATGGCGTGTATGCGTCCGGTTTTCGGTGTCCCTCGGATCTAAACGTCCGGTATTTTCGTCACAGACATGCGACATCTCTCACTTGTCTTTCCAAACGTACGAGAGAGAAAATCCTGACGTCATAAGCTTACGAAGTGAGATTTCAAAACCTGTGCTAGTACGTCGCGTGCTCCATTCGATTTTCCACGTTTTCCAAATAATTAGATGCAATTGCATCTTCGTAATGCACATACTATTATTAGAAAATTGTTATAAGACTCGCTTTGATCATACCGCGGTCTAATGTTAAGTATCCACTAAGCAATTAAGACAATAATTTATAATGTAATATAACTTCGAACAGGATGTTTGTTCACGTTCAAAACTAGTATCACGCTGTACAATGTTATTATATAAAAATAAATAAAATAAAATAAGCCTTTATTGCTGTTAGTTTTTCTATACAGTATGCTACACTAATCTATTAAACTATTACACTATTTTATTGTATATTTCTACTTAAATTAAATATCGGCGATCGGATTTTTTTTTACAGCTTGTCCCACGACGTAGGCCTATGCGGGTCCATTCTGGCCCTGCAACTTGTCAAATACCATCTCCCCAACGTTTGCACTGTCTCCCTTTATTTCTTATGTTGCCATTATGGATACCATTCTGTTATTGCCTTTGACTGCACGGTTGGTGCGGTGGCTAGGCAAACGGCTGCCGTGCAACGTGTCGCGGGTTCGATTCCCGCACGGAACAACACTTTGTGTGATCAACAAGTTTTTGTTTGGGGTCTGGGTGTCATGTGTATGTGAACTTGTATGTTTGTAAACGCACACACGACACAGGAGAAAATCCTAGTGTGGAGCAAGTTTTTTTTTTAATTGCTTTGGTCCACTTTTCCTTAATTATTATATACAAACCTATTTATTACACCATCACATATGATTATGTATAAAATATTATCTGATACATCGCCATAATCTTTGTTTATTTGATTGATAAAACTGTATTATAAATAATCTGATTATACAAATCAAAAGGGCGTAAACGCACGTCGACTATGTTATTATGAAACCGTTAATGTATTCAAATTCAAATCAGTTCCTTTGCCGGAAGACAGGCTGGCAATAAAAAGTGTTGCCCGCATAAAATATCCATTACAGCACAATCAGTGCTAACACCTCCATACAAACTTAATTAATATGTTTAGAAATAATTTATTAACGATCTGTTAATTACAGTTATCTTGAACATTTTACCCTGAAGTTTAGAGGTTTTTAACTGAGTACTTTTGCGAACAAAGTTAACCCGAACAATCTTTAATAATTCATTCAGTCAATTAAAAAATGCTAAATTTTTTATTTAATTTATGCATAGGAAAATTTATGCTATAATATGCGGTCCACATAATATGAAATTAGAA